GTATAAAACAAAAGAGAAGTGTGTGTATCAGTCTTGTTGGCAAATATCTTAAATTGGATACATGTCGACATTTATTTAACTACCAAATCTAAATTACAATTTAACTCAGTTTTAGGCTATTTGAAATTTTAATACGTAACAACATATATTGACAAACAAAAATGATGGACTTGCCCATTTTTAGTAATTATTAGGGGTGAAGATGCCACAAAAAGCATAATTTTAGGGTTTTTTGACAATTATTCCGCCGTATTTCGTCCAGTTTACATGAAATTTGGTATAAAGATATCTTCTTGCAGGTCCTAAGCAATGATATAGATAGTTTTTGATTTTTCTGTTGTCAAAATTGGCCCTGTTGGGATTTCGTGGCGGAGACATGCTACATTCTCCCGCGAATGTTGGCCTCTTTAGTTATCTCATCTTTATGTGACTGACTAGCCTTTTTAATCCTATGTTGTTCGTTTGTTACTCTTATAACTCATTCTCAGCTGAAATTGTAAGGGTGGATTAGATTTAACTGCGTCATAGTGAAAACTTCTGCCCTTCTGATTAACAGTTCATCTCGCTAATCACAAGTACAAGCCTAGTCTGGGCAAAAAGAAAGGATCATAAATATATAATCATTTTGAATGAGTTCTGGCTAGGGATTGAACAAAGTGCATAATATTTGCTAATCATTATCGATTATTTTATTAAGTGGGCCAAAGTTTGATTGGCTGAACAACAGATAATATAAGTTAGATCACATGAAATAACTTACATGAACCAATAGACTAATTTCAATAGCTGGTTACTTTCTGAGTTGTGAAAAGAGTTGGGTATGATGACAATGTGCATTTTACTGTATCACTCCCAGTCTGGTGGTTTAGTAGAATAGGTAATACAAACTATTAACTGGATGCTTACATTTTTTCAATCCTGATCAAACCAGTTGGTATGAACACTTACCATATACCATGATGGCATATACAGAGAAGAAGGTTGTTTGTTTGCTGAACATGTTCATGTTTGACTGAAAAACACAACTTCCTGTGGATTTGATGTATGGTCCACACCTTAGAGAAGATGTACCACAATGTCTACAAGAACATGTGGAGTGTTTTAGGCCTACATTTGTTAATGTGCATGAATTTGTATACTATCAGCTAGGAAATCCTGTAATATAATTTTATTCTCTGACAACTCAGTCCCTCAAACTGTGTGCTGCATCACTCATGTCATGCTCTTACACACACTGAACATTTCCACCAGCGAAATCTAGTGCACTGGTTAGAACAGGAATAAAAAGTTGAGAGTGATGAGTCAAAAAATAGTACTGTTTCATATTGTTTCGACTCAGCTAATAAGGAAATGTTAATGGAAGAGCTGTGTGACAGTTCTGATGCTCAGTTGGTGTTGATGTCCTGATTGATATGGTGGAGAGTAACTGCCAACCCAGCAGTTAGGATGGGGGTTAAATAATAGATTAACTGCCGAGTGAAAGTAGCAACCCTTACTTTCCAAACTATCAAGCAGTGGTTTGTGCTAAAATGTTTGTAGGACATAGAATGATGACTGTTCTAGCATTATACAATTAGGGCAGCTGATGTTAGTAGATATAATACCTAGATTATTAACAGTTTGTAAGATTGGATATGATTGTTAGGAGTCCAAAAACTAGATTTTATAGAGCATTGTTACCCTTATATCATGTCTGAAAGATTTAATTTTTACATTTCTATAACTAATTTGGAGTGTATCTTTATCCAGGTATATTATTGTAATCTTCCTAAATTTCCATGCAGTTTCTACATGTACTTACTCACATCCATTTTGGAAGAATGTTACAAAGATATAAGCATATAATACTCTGTTTACACAGGTAAAGATTAAATGCTTGAACCACTGTTCTTAAGTCTCTAGCTAGCGTGTATCTGTTTCTTTATGGACTTATAGGAAGGAAGCCTCTTTAAACAGGTGATAAAGAAACCTGAACAAATTGGCTTTGGATGGTTAACATTTTATGTAGACCAGAGGTTTGGTTGAAGTACATAACCAAAATATTATGGATACCACACTCAAAATTTGGCCTGACTATACAAATGGAGCATTTTCAAATTTCTTTCTCTTGTTTTTAAGCTCTCGTTTGTTTCGGAACTCTCCAGCTTTCGATTCTTGTTCCAGCTATTCTATCTGGTATCAAGATCTAGTTCATGCGTCCATTCCAGCAGGTAGATGCTGGTCACTACTCAGCAAGTTATTTCAACCCAAAACTCAGTGTTGTAAATAAAGATTGCGTTCATTTACTTTTACCCGTTCTTCCTTTGCTGTCTGAATTTGATTTATTCTTTGCATAAAGCCAAGAATCTGCATTTTTCAGACACTTTAGACTTATCTGTTAGACATCAGTGCCCCTGAATACCACATTGAGCTATTGAGCAGTTTTCAGTGGCAAGATATTTATGTAGTGCAGTAATCA